TCTCTCGCTCTCCTCTCTGTCTATGTCCCTCTCTGTCTGTCTGTCTATCTCTCTCTCTTTCTCTATCTCTGTCTATCTCTCTCTCTATCTATCTCTCTCTCTCTCTCTCTCTCTCTCTCTCTCTCTGTCTATGTCCCTCTCTGTCTGTCTGTCTATCTCTCTTTCTCTATCACTGTCTATCTCTCTCAATCTACCTCTCAATCTCTCTATCTGTTTCTCTCTCTCTTCATCTGCGTCTGTGGTACATGTAGGCCTATATAGATGTTCGACACTTTGCTGTAGCACGCAGGGACCAAGAACTGCTCAACCCAGACACTTGCCACGGACAACAAGTAGAGTTCCAACCATCCTATGGAGATCAAACAGAACCACCAATACTTCCCAGTGAAATAGAAAAGGCACTCAAGACCAGCCCCAAGAACAAAGCCCCAGGACCAGATGACATCACAGCGGAAGCCAAAAGAGCTTGTGGAGACACCGATGTACTGTGGCTGAGGCGAATTTTCAACAGAGCCTGGGAGCAAAGAAAATTCCCAGAAGACTGTCCCCGTCGTTTTATGCAAGAAAAATTCTGAAATTGTGCAAACTGAGCCCAAAAATGTAAAATTATGCGATTCTGTTAATTTTAACAAAGAATGGTAAAGGAAAATAATGAGAAATTAGGCAAAAAACTATCAAATTTTGCTAAATTAAGCGGGGTGCATAAAACCACGGAGACAGAAGACTGGCAGACAGCCATAGAGATCTTCTAGTAGTCTGGAAAAAGAAAGGCAACCAACACGACTGCACAACGTAGGCTAAAAATTAAAAAGGCATCAGTTTATTTGGAAGCCTAAAAAGATTGCTGCTTCTGTCATTCTCAGGATACTTTGGTCTGGGTTGAGTGTCTAGATCTAGGCTTAAACTTTCAACCTCCGTGCCCCTTCCCCACGTGCAATTAACCCGATCCGTACGCCCTGGGGTCATTTTGTACCCCCAGGGTTGTATTCTTCACATTTTAGAATACATCTAGATTCTAGTATGAAGATCTCCGTGAAACTTTCAGTATTTTCTCAAAAAAATATTTTGACAGACTGCTATGCAAAGCGTACGGATCGGATTAACGAGTAAATTTTATCTTTGGAAAGTGGTGGCACAGAGTTCCCCACGTCGTATGGATACGATAGTAAAACACGACGTACGGATAGGGTTAAGTGGTGGCACAGAGTTCCCCACGTCGTATGGATACGATAGTAAAACACGACGTACGGATAGGGCTAAGTGGTGGCGCAGAGTTCCCCACGTCGTATGGATACAATAGTAAAACACGACGCGTTTGATAGGGTTAACGTGCATAGCGCGCGGGCACCACTCGGGCAAAATGTAAAATTTCGTATCAACTGAAAATGCCGTAAAACACTTGCCAAAAAAAAGGCCCCAAAAAGTCAAAAGTCAAAATAGAAAACGAAACTAAATGGAACAGGTCAACGAGGTCAAAGGTTGTTTCAGTACGAACTCTTCTACTTGAAGTTTTATGCCAGTGCTGCTATTTCGGCGTTATTTATAGCGGTTGAAAAAAATTAATTAATTGTGCAATTTCAACACTCTTTGCCTTGGACATTGGAAGCAGTGAGACTCATCGACGTCATCCACATGTTTATAAAAGGAATTCAAGATAACAGAGCTGAATTGAAGGCCTCAAACGTTGCAATAATAATGATTTCAAATATGTAGATCTAGTTGTCTATCATTTTTTTTCTGCACATTGTTCACATACGTCCACTGTTACAGAGACAAGAAATGATCTGAAACTTCAGGGCGTAGGCAAGTCTTTGGAATTTTTCGTATAGAGTTTTAAAGGGGAATAGATTTTGAATTTCGGAAACTTTTTATGCAATGTTAACGACAAACCTATTGTGTCACCCACCATGCAACGGGTTTTTGTACCTGGCAACCATTCGGTTTGTTTTGACCGCAGTTGACCCCGGAAGTAGTAACACAAACAAGGGCGTGAACTATGAATTGACGCGAAACGCCCCTGTCAACCAAAGATTCTCTGCAAAAATTAGTAATCTTGAGGATCTGTGCATCAACTTCAGAGCCAGGACAGGCCAGATTTAGATTGGAATTTAGATTACAAACTTCAATCGCAGTTTACTTTAGTCTCTCTCTCTCTTTTGGCCGGACTTTACGGTCACCACAAGACCTAAATCTAGATCTACTTCACATAGCAATAATGCCGAAACTTCTTGAAAACTGCAAGACCCTTTTTCATACAGATTGTTTGTATGGAGTTCTTGGTGTCACCAAGGACGCAACACAGAAAGAGTGTAAGTTGTTTAAAAAATAAATAGATCTAGATTTAGATCTTGATTTTTGCTTTTAGTCTTTCTGGGACTGGGTTTGTTATTGTTAAGTAGGCCTTTAAAGGCCTAATTGCCAAACTCGTAGGAATTTCTCTTGCTTGCCAAGTGCCAGATAAATGATTGTTTCAGAGTTCTAGAATCTAGATCTAGATCTAGATATATAGATCTAGAATCTAGTCTAGATCTCTAGATTTAAATAATTGCAGGTTAAATTACTTGTAGGCTTCTACAAGCTTAGGCTAAGTACTTAGGCTATCGTTTTGTTGTGTTTTTTCAGGCCTTAAAAAAATTCCTGTTCAGGTTTCTGGGTTTCTTAAAACTGAAAGCAGAGAAAGACGTAAGGAGAATCTATTAGATCTAGATCTAGATCTAGAATATCTAGAATCTAGATCTAGATCTAGAACACACAATCAGCAATAAAAGGTAATTTACTTTTATTGAATTTGATATCGGCCTTCCTGGGGGCTTTTTTTCCCACCGAATTTCACTTTTGTTTTTATTTGTTTTCAGTGAAAAAGGGCTATCACAGACGCTCTCTGGCATATCATCCGGACAGAGCGGAGAATGAGGACAAGGCTGCTGCCACGGAAAAGTTTCAAGTCCTTGGTCAAGTCTACAGCATTCTTTCTGACCAGGCTCGCAGGGCGGAATATGATGAGACAGGTAGAGGCCTTTTGACCATATCTGTACGTCGTGTTTTACTATCGTATCCATACGACGTGGGGAACTCTGTGCCACCACTTTCCAAAGAGGAAATTTACTCGTTAATCCGATCCGTACGCTTTGCATAGCAGTCTGTCAAAATATTTTTTTGAGAGATACTGAAAGTTTCAAAGAGATCTTCACACTAGAAGTATTCCAAAATGTGAAGAATACAACCCTGGGGGTACAAAATGACCTCAGGGCGAACGGATAAGGTTAACCGTGTAGACCACCCCTCACGCGCGAGCTGTCCTGATTTATGCCAGAATTCCGTAAGAACAAGGGAGGTAATCCTCTAAAAATACCACAATGTGTGTAATACAAGAATACCTGTGACAAATGCTCTGGATAAAAACCCAACCATTTTTAGAAAGAACACGACTTTCAGAGAGCCAGTTTCCATTCCTGACCAATGTGGGCAGGATGTTAATTTCTCCGTCTGTAGTTATGACTATTGGGAGTTCAATCGTTTCCCTTCTATGTCATCAGAGATTAGAACGGGGGTTCTCGTGGCCTAGAGGTTAAGGTGTTGGCCTCTCATTCAAAGGTCCCGGGTTCGAATCTGGGAAGTGACCGAGAAGTTTTCTTCTCTAAATTTGTCTCCTTTCACCTCCTTTCCTGCTCTCTAGCAATGTTCTGTCGTCTGCTTTCGTCTCCTCTTTCTGCCCCGACTCCCTCATCTCCTTTGCCCCCCTCCTCTGGTCTCCTGATTCTTTCTACAGCCTTTGTACTGCTGCTCCTTGGCTCCTTCTTACTGCTGTCTTTCAGCTACACCCCTGATCTTCTGGTAGGAAAGATTTACACCTAGCCTTCTCGGACAAGGGCGAAAAATCTCGGAGGGCCCGTGTGCAAGTTGCGCACGTTAAAGATCCCTTGGTTGTCTAAAATCGATAAGAGTAGGCTTCGGCCTCCACCCGGGCAAAATTCAGAATTTCTTACCAACTGAAAAAGTTTAATGTGTCCCTTGCGCTCATATGACCTTATGCTGTTGTGAGCGCCGTAAAACACTTATAAAAACAAAGAGATTAGAAATGAATGGTTAACTCCTCCAGTGGCTCAAAACTATGACTACGATATATTGTGGTAGATTGTGAACTGAACTTTCAACGTGTCTTTGTTTGGTCAAAATTAATTCGGGGGTCGGGGGGGGACTCCTTTGGTTCCGGGTATGACTACATTTCATCATATGTATCGCGACGCGGTGGAATCGTGCACTCATAAATATTTTGTCATATGGAGTTATTGGTATATCATCCTAAAGCTGAGTTATTTATCTTGCTTTCAATGAAAAAAATTTCCAATGATTTTGAACAGAAGTGGAGATTTTTTTTTTTTTTGAAGGGGGTAGGAGTCACCTTATTATTTTGCAAGTGCTGCAACTTTTGCTGTAACAAACAAAAAACATGTGTTTCATTAGAATTTATTCTCTCCCCCCCCCTTCCCGCTATGACCACCGTCCCCAGGTGGTGTGGAGGAGGAGGTGAGTGTGGATGAGGACAAGGACTGGGACCAGTACTGGAGGCTTCTCTTCCCCAAGGTCACGCAGAAGGACGTGGAGGAGTTTACCGAGAACTATAGAGGTGAGGAATTCTTTGTTTGGGAGCATCGAAGGATAATGATAATAATAATAGATTGCATTTATATAAAGACATGGATGCGAGCGGTACAAGCGGAAATAGAAAAGGCGGGGACATCATGGAAACAAATAGAAAAGGATGCACAGGACAGGCTTCGCTGGAGTAATGTTGTTGATGTCCTATGCTCCACTGGGAGTTAAAAAGGGCAAGAGAGAGAGAGATTTCATTTATATAGCGCTCTATCCCGTACTAGTATAGTATAACTCTGAGTGCTTTACACCAGTCACACAATCATTCACACTTTACACCAGTCACATGATCATTCACACTTTACACCAGTCACATGATCATTCACACTTTACACCAGTCACATGATCATTCACACTTTACACCAATCACACGATCGTTCACATTAGAGAAAATATTTCAGAGCAACTAGAAAAACCCATGGGGGACCTGGAAGAGTTTGCTGAGAAGTAGAGAGGTGAACAATTTGGGGGGGGGGGGGGGGGC